TTTTTTGGTTTTTCTCCGGTACCGGGAACCGAACTCACGACCTTGCGCTTGCCAGGCAGGCGCTTTTGCCGCTGAGCTAAATCCCCAGCCCCGTAGATGCTTAGTTCTTAAAATCATAAATGTGAATGTGGATTTTCTTTCTTTAGTTTACACACAAAAAAATGAATAAATCCAAGTTTGCATGAATCAGGTAAATCTCATCAACATAATTATGGAATACACTGTACTTGGGAATAATGAACTAAGTAAATTATCCTTCAACTATTTCTATAAATATTGTTTTAAAATCCACCTATATTGCCTATAAAAGTTATTTAAGAATAAAAAATAGCCTGGTTCATATGATCAGAATTTTTTGGAAAATTGAAGGCCTTTTAGGTATCAACAGAAATGTGAAAATACTTTTTTTTTTTTTTAAAGGCTAACTCACTAGCTTTTCAGTATGGTATTATCCTCTGTGTTTATTAATACCCCTTTTTAGGCTGGTGATTTCACTACTGACAAAACAATAAAGACACAGACACAATTGGAAAGCACAAAGCAAAGAATGAAACAGCTTCCATGTGACATTTCAGCATAGGATTCATGGAAATGATAGATGTAGAATCACACTACTTCACACAAGTCCTATTTCATCATGCCTACTATTCACAATAACCTTTTTAGTAGTGGAGAATGTGGTTTTTGCAAGAAAGTGAAAGTGCTTCGTGTTAATATTGCTTGTTAAGAGAACTGTGACTATAACCCAGATACAGTCTAAAACAAACTTAACTGAAAGAAGTTAGACTTCAATGGACACTTGGTAGATTCAGCCACTACACTCTAATTATATAGAACAATACTCTTGCCACAAGGCTTTGGCTCGGCTGTGTTCAAGAGTTACCAGTTTTACTGTGATAACTCCAAGAGTCCACGCAAGCCATCAGTTTTAGACCAGTTCTGGATCTTGGTGGATTTGGTTAGAAACAGGCTCTGGTAGATGTGTTTTTGTAACTTGGAAGCATTTTGCATATACACACACTAGTACCACATTAGTTCTTTTCACTATCCTACCTCTTGGTCATCTGTTCTTAAGAGTCATTACAATAGGACACATTTTCTCACCTGTTTCTAAGCATTTCATTTTGAGTTGCCCTAGCCACTCGCGCTTGACTTAGCGGCATCAGGTGCGTACCTACGGCGGCCAGTGAGGGGGGACCAGGCCAGTGGTCTGTTTCAATCTTTGGTATCTCGCTGGGGTCTGGTGCCTGGGCTGCTGGGAACTTGGAAAACTTGATGATGTCTTCTGAAGACTTGTTCTGGGCTGCCGAGGCAGCTGCATCTAGGTGGGAACCAGGGCTGCTTAGCTACCGGTCTGTGAGGCCGTGGTGGTACAACCCCACAGACATACTTTTCTCATTCTCTGCAAAAGCTACAATTCCACAAAGCTCTGTTGAACAACTGTCCAGTTACTTCTTGGTGACACTTCAACTCATTTTCTTTATTTCAGGTCAGAAGCAAAGCTTCATTCCACATCTGAAAAAACTTGTTCTAATGCTCCACATTTATATTTAAATCTAAATGAATGAAATTAAGTAAAACCAAAAATCGAAAAACTCAGAATTCAGCTCCTTGGTTGCACTAACTGTATTTCAAGCTCTCAGCAGTCACATGTGATCAGCGGCTACTGTTCTGGACAGCACAGATATATAGATCATTTCTACAATCATAGGAAGGTCCATTCGTAATTATTCTCCATGGTATACTTGGAATTAGAAAATTAAAAAAATTAAAAATCTGAATTAAAAATTAGAAATTAAAGGATTAATTAAAAGCATACAATGTCATGGGACTGTAGTTATGAATCCTTTAGGAAAGTGGCAGGCTTTGAATCTTTGGGTCAGAAACCAAGAATAAATTGGTCCAGTTCATTTTAATCCTTATATACTCCTTCATCCATGTATAATCCCTAGTGTCTTAGGAGAAATGGAAAGGCGGATTCCCACTTTCAGCTTGCAGGGAGTCAGCACTGTGTAATTTTTACCATCCTCACTCACTGCTGTGTTCCAGGATCTGTGTATTTAATAAGTAAGACAACCAACTATCAAATAACAAAGCCAAACTAGCACGGACATTAGCTCACAAAGTTCATAATGGCTTGGAGGAGGCATCACTGGTTTACAGCCCTAAATAATTAAAAGTTGGAGTTGGAGCAAAACAAACCAGGTTAAATGGTCAGTCTCTGATTTTGGCTAATTTAACAAACAGGCTTCGAATGTTACTAATATTTACATATCTCTTAATAATGCCTTAAATATTCTTTTCTTTCTGGGCTTTTATTTTAAAATCTGAAAATCATCCTTTGACGCTTCAGCTCCAATTTTCCCATTTTCTAGGAACCTTCTGAGTCTCAATCTGCTTAAATGACTTGACCAAGGAGACCCAGTGATAAGGGGAAAAACATTCTGGCTAGGCAGGGGACAGTATTTCCCACGAGGAAAATAATCTCAGTGTAGGAAACACTGACAGTAATCCCCTTGCTAGAGATGGACAAGATGTTAACATAGGAAAGGCTAAAGTCTGAATTATAAAAAAAGTGATTTAATTTAAATCTAGCATTTCTCAAATGCATGAAGGCAGATACCAGTTTGAGGCCTGACATCTACTTGGGGTGGACAGGCAAGCCTGCATTTGTAACAAATTGCTGCTTTGGCTGTGCTACTATTAATTAATTACAACTGAAACACTTCAAAGTTAATATCATAGAAAGAAGCCAATTAATTCCTCCCAAGTAAAGTGTACCGTTATTCAATGTCCTTAAATCTTAATTATTTTATTATTTTTGTTCAGAGTAATAGGGCCCACTTTAATATTTTGAAGAATCTCTAAATCAAACTCTGGGAATCTTATTCATAAACAAAAAAGCATGACTTCAAGCAGTACTTACGGATTAGAATTGGTGAAGTCAGTAGTTAAACATTCACATGTTAATGAGTGTGTGGGAAGACATTAAACCATAAAAAACAAAAACAAAAACAAAAGCAATGTTAAACTTAAAACGCAAGCAGGTGATGTAAAACTTTGAAAAATAATGAAAAAAAAAACCACACATGGCTTTAGAGTCATTACAATACATACTTCCTCATTTCCTCCCTACATTATCATTTCCCCTAACATGGTTTTGGTGCTATTTCCAACTTTATTCACTTTTCATATAGCATCCTAAGTCTTAATGGCTTGTTAATATCAACTAGATTCTAAAGGCAGCCTTCAAATTTCCAGGCACAATTTGTGTATAATTTTCTGGATCACTATCTTATCATAAGGACTTATGGCAGACAAATCCAGAGAGACCGAAAACGGTGGAGGAAAATGTGACTTATGTAAATTAACATGATTTATTGTATTTGAAACAGCTATATTCCCAGAATAGGAGAACATGCGTATAAATCCACTGTACTGTTTCTTATTTTGTATTCAAGGGATTTCAGAGACAAACCCATCTAACTTGCTGGTCCTTAGAGGTGAGAAAACTGAAGACCAGAGGAAGTATGACCCTGACAACAGAGCTAAGAGGTAGGAAAAGGGATCTGGGCAAGCACCTGTCTTAGCTCATGCCCTGTCCACTGCATGCCTTGTAAGAAGCAGGGAGTGGGATACCTAAGCCCATATAGTCTCAGTCAAACATTTTCTGTAGGTGCCTCATTTTCACTAGTTTCAATTAGTCAGGCTAACTGCAAACTCATCATGTTTTAGAAGTCGGTTAAATTATTTGATGGCAAAAAGAAAAAAAAGAAGCCTTGTTAGGATGCTTGTAGGTGGGTGGCTGACCAATACTTCCCCTTCTCTATGAGTGGAACGATACACGCTTTGATGGGTTCAGAAATAAGCTGAACACTTCTAACCGAGCTAAGTGTTCTCCATCAAAGAAGGTTAATAGTCAGATCTTACTGGACCATAAAGGTAACATAGACTGGATGCTTCAGTTTGGTTCTCAAAAGCAGCAGTAGATAAGCCTTCAGAAGACAGCAAAGAAGAGTCCAGCTGACTCTGCTACTTAAAAGCTATGCAGAGGAAAGCAAGTTTTACCATGCTGCTTGTAGATGGGTGGTTTTCGGTAAATGTTGATCCCTTGATCTGTGGAAATGAAAAGCAAAGGTGTGTGATTATGGGAACCAGCTCTGCAATGAGAAACAACAAACCAACCAAGGCGCAAAACAAACAGAAGACTCTTGAACAAAAATAACCCCAAAGGCTAACTTTTGTATTACAAAGATTGAGTTCATTGGAAGGAGAGATCACAGACATGAGTTACTACAGACACATGACACGGAAGTCTTTGTAATACATCTTAGCATCTTAGAGATGTAACTTATTTATGAGCCATTTATTTCAAATACACACTTCACTGAAAGTGGGATTAAAACAGGAAAAAATGCAAGCAGTGGAGGCACTCAAATGGTAAGGAAGACATAACCAGTTTGGAGAAAAATGCTCAAACTGCTACTGTCTAGAAATTGAGCTCCCAGTAGATACCAGTGGCTCAATTTACCTTGTCAGTCAATGAGGAGAACAGTGGAAAGCAATGTAGAGAAACTTAGAAACTTATTTTTAAAAATCATAGAACTATCTTTCATGTGCAAAGCTAATCCAGTGTGCTGCTGTGATGGTCAAATAAAACCCTTACTTGTACAGGTTGAATTTTTTTTTTTAAAAAAAAAAGGAGGAAAGAGAAAGGAAAGTAGAAAAGTGGTACTAAATACTGTTCTTGTATTTAGAGAACCCCTTTGGATCATGCTGCCATCACTTGAACTGCAGATACTCAAGGAACTTCATGAAATTTCTGACTTGGTTGAGGCATTCTTCACGTGAAAAATCCCAAACATAGGACAATCAGTTTAAGATTCAATGAAACTTTTTAAAAAGGCAGCCCTAGCTTAGTGGTACCAATCTCATTAAACTTTCCTCTGTTTTCTTAGGTTAAGTTTACATTGCAAAAGAAAAAAAAAACCCACTAACACAGATTCCAAATATGTACACTTACATTAATATGGTGGGTAATTTGCTAACCCACTTTCAACAGGTAAAAAAAAGCAAAGTTGTACTTCTAATGGAAAAATCATGACTGCTGATGGCTGATCCCACCTTTACCAGTTGAGACAAACCTAAATAGTAAGATTTTTTTTTTTTGCCTTTTTGAGACAGAGTCTCACTATGCTGTTCAGGCTGGCCTTGAGCTCACTTATGAAGCCCAGGCTGGTCTTGAACTCGCAATGATCCTCCTGCCTCAGCCTCCCTAGTGCTGGGATTACAGGCGTGCGCCACCACGCCCAGCTAAATAGTAAGATATTGATATGTTCTGTTTTCTCCAGTGTCTGATGGCAAATTACAATTTATGCTGTGACAGCAAATGCTTATGACTACTAGAGCAAAGCCTGTAGCACCAAGCCTAAATTGCAAGATTTTTGTGTGGGCTGTGGAGGTGGCTGATCAGCTGCAAACTGCACAGACTCCACCCAACTGAATCAATGTTACATCCGTTTCAAAAGAAAAATCCATGGGGGAAAAATGTCCACACTAGAGACAAAAAGGAAATACAAATGTGGTTCAATCTTTAGGATGAGAAGAAACTAAATTACCGTCACAACAGTTAACGGTACTGAACCACAGGGTGACATTTTAGATGGTACTAAAATAAATTTAAAAATTTAACCAAAAAAAAAAAAAAAAAGACCAAAAACCCCCCATGCCTAAACCAAACAACCCAATTCCTCTCCTTTATCCCCTGTCTCCTACCCTCTTCAAAAAAAATTGAGGCCTGGAGATACGGCTTAGGTAGGACCTTTGCCTAGTACGCATGTGTCTGATCCCCAGCACCGCAAAAACAAAACAATAACAGAAATGAGAAAACTTTCGATATGATCTTGGTATTTCACATAGAGAACGTTTGAAAGGCCCTCTAGGTCAGATCCTGCAATTTAGGATTTGTCAAACGTGTGCACCCCGATTAACGAGCATGAGAAATGGAGACGAGACAGTTACAAGGCTACATTCTACACGGCGACAGGACACCAAGACAGACCGTGTCAGCTCCTACCTGGAACATGGAAATGTTTAGGGGCCTGAGCGTAAGTTGGAGTTAGAGGGCGGCTGTCGGGCCGGTAAGGGAGAGGGGAGTTCCGGCCGCTGGACGGCTCATTGCCTCCAATAAGAATGGAGAAAACAAAATGAGAGAAGGGAGAGCAATAAAGAAAACCAAGCAAGCATAGTCAAAATCCAACACAACAAATGGAAGGAAGTATATCAGAGAGGAGAAACAAAGGACACAAACTCGATTTATCGACTTGGCTTGCAAAGGTGGTATCAGGGTTAGTTTTCCAAAGGGGGGATTTGAGTCGCGTGGACTGAGGTTCAAAGCAGCTAGCATCAGATGCGTCATTCCAATGGCATGCGGTGGAAGCCTGTGAGCCGGTGCAAACGGGTTAATGCAAGTCCGCTGGGAGGCATGGAGAGTCACTCACTACTGATTCGGGATCAGCTGTCAGATGAAGCCCCAAGCATGGAAAGGGGCGAGATATGCAACACCCCTACCCCGAAAGTACAGGTGCTTCCAGGCAGAGGCTGGCTATTAGAATTGCATTTTTCTAGTGAGGGCTCAGTCTGGGAGACCCTGAGGTCACCCAGTTCTTTCCCTTAGGAATACAAAGCATCTTCATTGCAGTGCTTTATAAGTCTCTGTGTTCCTCACTTTGAAATATACAAAATAGCACCAGATCCCTTTCTGTCAGGTGCTTGGGGACCACGGATAGTTTCCTCCACCCTCTCTTCCTAGACTGCTGCTCTACCAGAGCTATTAATTTTATCACCAATGAATTTGCTGAACACGCATTCTGGCTGGGCGCTGGCTACTATTGAAGACAAAATAGGTGATTGAAATATAATCCCCCCCCTCCAAAGCCTCAGCATGTACTACTGAGGTAGACTGAACACACACATGCCCACACTCACACACACACACCCAAGAGGCCAGGAGGAAAGCCCTGGGCCAGCACTGAGGAGGAAGGTCCCCAGGGCCTAGGACAGCACACATTCTGGAAGGCAGGAACACCGTGAGCAAGGATGGTGGGGCAGGGCCACAGCAAGGGGGCTCAGGACTGGCACCGTGGTTGGACAGAACTGTGCTCTTGGAGGAGAAAATAGGGATGCAGCTGCAGAAGCCTCAAGGGCACCAGGGCCGCCATCCCCTGTAACCTCAGGGAGAACTGCAGGGGTGAACAGAAGTTTACGCCAACTGGAAAGAGATTAGCTACTGCTCTAATTCGTCCTTCTACCACACACCTGGGTAAATATCCTGTCCTAAGAATACATCAGAAGAGGTGGGACTATTAAAAATTAATGAGTTACAATGCTAATTACTGTGCAGTTGTAACAGTTCTTTGCATACCCTTATCAGACAAGATTTGCAGAGTTTTTTCCCATGCTGTAGGTTTTCTTTCCACTTTCAAGTATCACTTGAAGCACAAAAGTTTCTAATTTCAATAAAGTCTAATTTATTCATCTATTAATCCTAATAATTTCAAGTAAATGATAGATCATTAGGAGAGAGAGCTCTAGCCAATTTCTTTAAGTCAGAAAATTATGAAATTATACCAGAAAATGATGAAAGAATTTCTAGATTTCTGAAATATGCCAAATAGCTGGGCACAGTAATCCCAGGACTCGGGAGGCTGTGGCAGAGCTGCTGTGAGCTCAAGGCTAGCCGGGGCTACAACTGAGTTCAAGGCCAGCCTGAACAATGTAGTGAGACCCTGTCCCCAAAAATATGCTGAATAGTTTTAATTTCTCAATAGGTACATGTTTAGGTAACCAGAGACCAGATGTGTACCGACTGATCAATAATATATTCCAAACATGAGGTGTGAACATGTTACTAGCTCAGATTTAGATTCTAGGTTCTTGGTGGGATTCTGAAGCTTCTGTCTCTCCTTAAGACTTTTTCTTTTCTCCTCTTCTCTTCTCTTCTCCTTTCTTTCTTTCTTTCTTTCTTTCTTTCTTTCTTTCTTTCTTTCTTTCCTTCCTTCCTTCCTTCCTTCCTTCCTTCCTTCCTTCCTTCCTTCCTTCCTTCCTTCCTTCCTTCCTTTTCCTTTCTTTTCCTTTCTTTTCCTTTCTTTTCCTTCCTTGCACTTGCGAGGCAGGCACTTGTGCAGCTGAGCTATATCCCTGCCCCCTCAAGACTCTCTAGCATCCAGCTCCCAGCAATATGTTATAATATTGACTTGATCAGTTAAGCCAAATATTAGCTTCCAAAAATGATGAAGCATCCCAAATTACTCATTTATTAACAAGCTTAACTGACAGTTGGGCATGGTGATACATGACTGCAACCCCAGCACTGGAGAGGCTAAAGCAGAAGGACAGATTCAAGACCAGCCTGGCAACTGATAGACTTGGCAAGACCTTACTTCAAAATAAAAAGTTAACAAGGTGGGGCGTATGTTGAGGCTAGAGCTCAGTGTAAAGGCAAAAACTACGAATTTATGAAAAGTTGATATCATTTAATCTGACTCTCCCAAAGAGCAGGAACTAGCTCATGTTTGAAAAAAAAGTGCGTATGAAAAACTGGGTAGAGGTAAGCAGGAACAGGAGGGTTATGACTTGCACTGAGAAGGAAATGCTATGTTAAACCCACGGCTAAGTTAGAATGGGGTCCCCTTCCTTCTCTCCTCAGTACTCAGCCTATTGCCTGGCCTAAGTAAGTGCTTCATAAATGTGAACGAATAACTGAAGGAGACCAACTAATTAATTCCACAGGTACTCATGGCCTCACTTAGCAAGCACCACTGCAGGATTAACCACCGTCTCTCTCTCTTAATTCTTAATTAAAAGAAGCCAGATGCCATGACAGAGCAGCAGGATCACAGCAGCACCCCTCTTTATAGCTTTCCCATTCTAGCTCATCCTCAGTAGCTCCCATTTAATTATTTCACTCCAGAAGAATCCTTTAATCCTACGAACATTAGAAAATTGTTAACAACCATCATCCATAATTGAAAAGCAGAGTACTTCTTGGGGCTTTTCTCAGGAGCCACAGAAAACCTCCCTTTTCTTGCTTTATCTTCACTGGTCTTTTGAAGACTCTGTGTGTCTCTGATGGCTGGCCACTATTGCTTCTGAATCACACTGCCCCTTGCCCTTAATCTTGCATCTCTAACTGTAGCGACCTTTTACCTGATCGGATGAAATTCCACTGAACCTGTTTTGCTAATTATTAACTGCAAAAATCAAGTACATGCAAAAATATCTGCCTATGTAGGACATAAATGTTGAAGGTCATTAAAATTAGTCCAAGTATTAAATCTGTCCAAGTATTAAAATATTTCTGTCAATCAGATTCTCTGCTGCAGGTGGCAGCAGAAGCTCATCATTTCTCAGGTAAATTCAAAGTCTCTGGAAGAGGGCTGGGGATTTAGCTCAGCGGCACAGCGCCTGCCTGGCAAGCCCAAGGTTGTGAGTTTGATTCCCAGTACCAGAAAAAAACAAACAAACAAACAAAGTCTCTGGAAAGCTCCAGGAGGAGCCTCCGGAATTCCGAATGCATGAATTCTGGCTGTATGCTTTCGCCCATTGAACGTTGCTCTTTTTTTCTAATATAAACACCCTATAGTTAAATGATATAACCTTCAACTTCACCCTGGCAGAAAATTTTGAGTTTTAGCTCTTCACTTGGGCAAACTAAAATATGAAGCATCAGATGAAACACATTTGGAAAGTATCGGTATCATCATCATCACCATGGTTCTCATTAGTTTGGACTAAAATACTTTAAAACATTAATATAGTAGTATGTGCATGTATATGTGTATGTGCACACACACATATATGATATGACAGTGTATATACCACACGTATAGCTGTTTTGTCCCTTAAATCGGTCCTTGGGTTGGGTGATACTAAGTTTTTGGTGATCTTAGCTATTTTAATGAGGAACTGATCCCATATTTCTATTTCTTGGTCTTAATGTTTAGCTTCTTCCCTAGGGCCCTAGTGGGACAACTTTTTTTAGTACTTGAGAGATCAGTCGTTTCCTAGATTCTCACTGTAATCATGAATTCAAATGCTTTCCTCAATTTCATTCTTCCTGGCACCACAAGAGCCTGAATAGAGGCGGAGGTGCACAATTCTTTTGTGGAAGCTGCTGGAGCACCATCTGGCTTTCAGGACTCCATGCTTCTATTCCAAAACATAAATGTGTATTTGCAGAGGGCCTTAATGATGGCAGCATCTAGACTATTTTGTGACAGAGTTTCAAATTACTGAGCCTTCAGCAATCAGAGGGTCCAGAACTTCAAGAACAGGTCTAAAAATTATTTAGTAAATACTTAATTTGTAATTGTAGCATAGTAACTCATATCTATGGTAGAACAGCAACCATTCCTTTCAAAGAAACTTCATCTAGGTCATCTTCCCCTCACCAATCAAATTTATGCTTCCTGGACACAGGATGTAACATGCACCAGTATTTCAAAGGGGAAGGAAGAGAGGCTCCTCAAAAGTTGCACAAACACAGTTCAAAACAAAACGAAAGTATTTTTTTGCAACTCTTTTGGCATAAGTTGTCCTACAGGCCCAGCAATGACACACTAATAAAGATTGAGGCTGCAAGGAAGGTTAGAGAAATAAAAACACAAACCTTAAGAAAAGATGGGCATTACAGGAAATGAATGGGGAAGCCAATGAAGCAGAGAGACAGTCTACATCGTGCACCTCAGCTTTTTGCCCCATGCAGGCATCCTCAGCTCGGTGGACCCCAGGGGCCTGGGGACATGCATGAGAAACAAGGACCAGGAAGTGTACTTGGATCACAGAGGCTGGGCTTCCTGCTGACAGAGTGGCAAGGGCCCTGCTGCTGCTCACCCCCTGAGATGGCTCCTGAGATGTCACTCTACTGGGAATCAAGATCCCTAGCTCACATCCATTTACACAAATAACTTCCCTACGATCACAAATCAAGCTCCAAGGTGCAAAGCAAATGTGCAAATCAGGGCCACAGAAGATCCTGGGTGCTGATGCCCCATTTGAAAGATCTCTTATTTCTATTTCTCAAAGAGCTATACATTTCCTCCATTCTGAAATTTCCAAGTGCTGGAGAGGCCTTCCTTGCCAATGGGTACGCTTTTCAAAATAACCAAGAAGCGATCCCTTTGAAGAATCAGCATTTATCCACTCAGATACATTAGGTTTTTAAAAAAATCTTTATATAAATTCTCTATGATATTTTCAGTTAGTAAAGAGCTCAACCAGTTAAAAAAATAAGCATGTGCTCTAAGTATATAACACTGTTTTTGAATGTATAATAGAATATTTTATAAGAACAAAATATAGTCATATATCCAGTTAAAGAGGAAATGAGAAGAAGACCATTAGATATTTTTGAAATTATAAGTTAAGGGTTATTTTAATTCCTTTTGGACTTTGTAATTTCAACTCATAATATCTGTGTCAAAACTTCAGATTCAGAGAAAACAGAAATGAATGTATATCTACATGTTAAAGAATGCACCATGGCACACAGAAGCACTATAATTTTTATAACCATTTGATATTTCTGTTGTAAACAAATGTTGATTTTTATTTTAAGTGAAAAGGTTTTTTTTTTCGGTTCTAGCATTAATAAGAAGGCAATTTTCTGGTTAAAAAGAGATGGAAAGTAAAAGATTGTTTTAAAAATTATATTTCATGGTTGAGTGCCTTTGTTATGTACCTATAATCCCAGGACTCTGGGAGACTGGGACAAAAAGATCACAAATTTGAGCCTTGCCACAGGCTTTCGATCAACTGGTGATCACAACTAAGTGACACCCTAGGTCTAAATAATAAATAAACACATAAGGCCAGGAATTCAGTTCAGTGCCCAGGCCCTGGGTTCAATCCTCAGGCTGCCTAAGGTGAACAAGCACTGCTAGGGATGAGAAGGCCTGGGGTTTGGTCTAGGCGCTGCCTCTTCCTAGCAGTGAGCCTGTGGCTGAGACCTGTGCTCTTTGGTCATTCTGCTGGGCCTGTTTCCCAGGGATGCTATGAAAAGCAAATGGAATGACAGGATCAAAACTGCTTCAAGAGCCTCATGCTGACCGTAGTGTACTATGCACCCAGACTTGTCACCTCACAGTCTAATGACCGAGAGTCTACACCTCACCCTTCTGTTTATAGGTGAGGCAAGTAATACTCAAAAAAGGATAACCACGCTAGGTCACACAGCCAGCAAGTGACAGAGACAGTATTTAAATCCAAGATGCCAGTGTCCACAGGCTGTTTCTATGGCTATTCATAAATATGTGAAGTATTTTAGTCACTGACATTTTGTGCAAACTTTATAGGGTCCATTCTATTTTTTCATTCCTCATTCTGAAAGATGAAACATAGTAACAGATGAGAAAGCTTACATCTTAATGATAAAAAATGTATTTTTCTCTTGAATGTTAGAAATAACTACCATCAATTAATTCCAAGGGCGTCTATATTAAATTGCATTTAGAATACACACTGAGTTTTATTCAATAATATCTTTATGACTTTATAAGCATTCTCAAAAGTATCACCTTGACATTTACATGATAATTTTCCCCCAAATACTAATTAGCAACTGGTTTTAAACACTCTGTCAAGACTTTTAGAAAGTGCTTTGCTTCCAAAAACATTTGCTAGTGGCAAATGGTATGATTCTTCAATAAGCACATCAGCAATATTATTTTTGAAGCACAGAAAGTGCTGAAATAGCACATTTGTAAAATAACTGCACACTAATCAGCTCAGTACATCTACATTTTAGCACTTAGTTGCTCAAAAATCTAAGGGAGCTAAAAGAAAAACACTGAGGTAGACTGACAATGAAAGTTCAGGAAACTAGAACAACATCTGGCTACTTATATGCATGGGTGAATGTCGCATTTGGCGGGCAGCTTTTAAGACTGCTCTAAGATCCATGATAACCTCTGTGCTTGCCTCGTCTTGCTATTTTTGTTGGTTAATTTAGTTCACATCAAGACTAAGGAACAAGCGGGCGTCCCTCTGGGAGCTCATACCTAATTTAAATTAAGGACCCTCCATAGCTTCCTGGCCCCCCAGCATGCGGAGAGCCCCAACTGAGAACTGGTGCAGAAGCACAGCAGCGATGAAGGAAACAACAGAAATGCCACAGAGGGAAGGGGCAGAAATGTGAGGCAGGAACAGAGCACAGAAGGCAAAGCCTCTCTTCTCCATCCGATGGAAATTAGGAGAAACCCAAAGCAGAGCGCTCGGAGAGTCGGCTCACAGAGAGAAATTTAAGTTAGGTCGCCACAGATCAGTTATGCTGGCCAAACATGTTACTGTAGTAAAATGGCTTCTCACCACTAGGATGGCTTTTGGATATCCGTTATAAATACTGTTGTGCTTTGCTGAGACATATTACATATGAAACCCGGAAAATACACCAAGAATGTATTTTGCTTTTGATACAAAACCAAAATACTGCTACAGACTTGCTTCCTAAGCGGTGGACGATAAATCTGGCCATCAAATATACTTCCCGTTTCTTCACATAGAGCCCTTAGAAATGACACATCCTTCAGGAATGCCAGACACGATGCCAGTTCTAAGGCCACCTCGGGGTTACATCATGACACACGCAGGCATGCTGATGGGTCAGAAGCTCGGTAGCACTAACTCTTGGAGATACACCTTATTAGCCTTGTCAGGGTGCTAATAAATCTCCACTACAGGTGCGCCTGCCCAGGCCTGCCTCCTTACCTTTCATATGGGGGAGGAAGTGGTGTCTGAAGGGGGGGTTGGGGCGTGAGTCGCCGTGGGCGGAGCTGAAGCTGCTGGTGCGCAGGTGGGACAACCTCTGCACACCAGGAGACAAGAGCTCTGGGCCGCAAGGACGGGGCAGGGTGAGGGAGACAGAAAACAGCACAAATTAACACAGGAGCAGGGACAGTGGCATCGTTCCAAGGGAAGAAAATAAAGAGCGTTAATTAGGAATCTGAAAAAGGAGGAAGGAAAAAGCGTTACAACTGCGCCCGCGGAGAACGAGGCCAAGAGGGCAGAATCTGCAGGCAGAGCAGGGGCGCACAGAGGCACCCTGAGAATAAATGGCTGTGGGGAGGAGGAAGGGTCCCCACGACATTCTCTGGTAGGACGACACATCATGTAGACTCAACGAAAGCTGTTGTTTTTTTTAAAAGCACCAAACAAACAGAACCCACTGACATGCATGTAATAAATGACCATCACTTCAAGAAACTTGAAAAGAAGGACTTCTATGGAAGGGTCAGTTTTTTTTGTTGGGGAGGGGTACCAGGAATTGAACTCAGGACCTTGCACTTGCCAGGCAGGCGCTTGTGCCACTGAGCTATATCCCCAGCCCAGGGTCAATTTTTTTTCTTTTTTAAACTGTATACCTATCCCTTTAGAAATCATTTTATTTCACCTACATAGAAGAAAACCCTGTGTGTATTCCTTAAGAGACAAAGCTATATACGATCCTGACAGCTGTGTGTGGAAATGCTGGGGATGGAAAACGCAGCCTCTCGGAGGGAAGGAAGGACCAGTAAAATGGAACTCAGACCCAGAGGATGGAAGCTGCCGTCTGGTATTCAGAATTTAGTGGCTGACCCTTTGGGATCACAAGTAGGATGCAAGTTCTGTTTTGGAAGGGTAGGCCTCAAAAATTACTGTAAAGCCTAAACACATGGTGTCTGAATATATGTAAGATGAATACGAAAGGAGAGTTCTGAACACTCCCCTGGCTTCAGAACCATGACTGGAAGGGATAAGAACTTCCTACTGCTCACTAAGGACAGGAGCTTTTAGGAGAAGCACTGTGGCTGGTCGGCCACTCTCTCTCTGTTAAGGGGTCTCGGGAAGTGTCCCTGTAGCCCACCCACTCTAAGGGGTGGGGACTCAGTGATCTCAGCAGATGGACACACATGTGGCGGTGGTATAAGCATTTCTATCACTGAGAGAGATGGTGGCTTAAACTGGGACCCATGTCTGGGCATGAATAAAATGAGTATAGGCGTGCATTAAAAAGAAGGAAATATCCTGAAAACTTTGATTTAATATAATCCAGTAGATACTAATGAATATATATATGTGTACAGCTGGAGAAACAGATACATTACTGAAGGATACTATATCTTCAATCGTTTGTGTTAAATCCATGACTTTAAGGAGAACATTGTAGCCTTGTTTACATCGTTAATTTCTTCTGTTTTACTTCCTGTACATTTTGTTAAAAAGTTAACACTGAATGAATCTGTGCTCATCAAGCTGGCCTGAAGCAAGAAGCTTACAATGAAGTCTTCAGAGAGGTATATCATTACCAAGTTTGTTTAGAGGCCAAAATCTCTCGTAGGATGGTTTCTGAAGAAATCCTGGATCTGCAGGGGCACTTCATCCATCTGCTGCACACACACACATGACCGCACTAAGGGTCACAGGGGTGAAATTCTCTGCAGATAATGGTCAACTGACATCTCCTAACTATGTGATATTCTTGATGGCAGTCCATCCTTGAGGTTTTTACGTTTCCCAAATCTAATTCAAAATCCTGGGGCTGGAAGTTACCTCAGAAGTTACCTAGTACAATCCCAAGTCTTCCTTCTAGAAGCTCCTTAACTGAGCATGCTTAGTAACCCTTGTGTCTGGATAGGGGTATTATATGTATATATTTTTGTAGAGGGAATCGAACTCAGGACCTTGTGCTTGCTAAGCAAGGTGCTGTGCTGCTGAGCTATATCCCTGGCCCGCGGACAAGGGTATTATAAACTGGTCAACAAATGGCTAATATTGGATTTTAGATTATATTGAGCTGCCTAAAAAGGACATACAATTTTTTCCTTTGGAAATCTTCATTTTAAGTCTCAAAGTGATGACATGTCCAGTAAGGGGAAAAAAAATCTCCTTTGCTTCCAGTACTTCACTAAGTGTTTTTTAATCAATTAAAATCAAAATAGCCACAGCAGGACTGATATTTCAGGAAAGCTGTAATACAAAATACAACTGGATACCAATTCTCATTTTGTTCTAGGAGTGGGGTAGAAATATTAGCAGTCAGATTTTTCAATAAGCTATCAGTAGAGGGGGGAAAGACACACCGAGATGCAGCTCATGACGTGGAGTAGAACCCAGGAAGAGCAGCCCTTACCAGGTCTGTGGAAATGCTGGGGTGAGCGTGATGTGGTCGGAGTGTAACTGTGGCGGCTGTACACCGGGGAGTTGATGGAGCCCTGGCTGGTGGACCGGTGGATCATCCGATCCCGAACATCCTGGTAGCCCTGCAGATAAAGTATGAGAAACTGTGAGCACAAAACACATCAGACCTGTAGCATTTCCCAGCAAAACCTAACCCACAACTCTGCTGAGAAGTGATCATGTCTACCTGTTTGTTTTTATAGGGGGGGTGAGTTTCATAAATATGTACACTTTGCCAGCATTCGGTGGCTAATGCATTTTGGTTTCACAGTCCTTGGATCTAAAATTTTAAGATGTAAAATTATAAATTCCAATCCTCACAGAACTGTAGGAAGAGGTAATTCCAATGAGCACATTTATATGTGTTTTCCAGCTTTACAAAGTATGTCCACCTATATCAGGTGTGCATGTCAGTCCCTTCCTGAAGTAGACACAGGCTCCATGCTGGTCACAGACTCCCACCAGGTGCATGGCTAGGACAGGTGGGGTTCACTTCAGAACTGGCATCCTGATGCTACTCCTGCCCGTGACTCTGACCACCAACCCACAGCACCTAGAATACTGATCTGGTGACATTTTGTTCCCAGAGAACAAGTTCGTAGTTGATTTATGGCCAGTAATTAAAATTCTTACCTTGGAAAACACAGGCTAAGAAAATAATTTAAAATGATCTCTCTTTTTTGGGACTGGGAATCAAACTCAGGACCTCATGCTTGCCAGGAGGCTCTGTGCCCCTGAGCTATATTCCCCAGCCCTTAAGAAGAATAATTTATTCAAAGACTTTTATAATACCAGTATTCATAAAGGCAAAAATGGATACTACAGCCAACAAGTTGGAGAATAATTAAATTATGACAAATCATAATTCAGTGGAATTTAATGATAGCACTAGTATATTGCTTATGTCTAACCCGGAAAAGGAGGTATTAGGTAATAGGCACAAAAACCCCAACCATATTAAACCATCAAAATCAGAAGAATACAATGAATATTTTATATTTGAGGAATCTGTTGTGCTGTGAAGTTTCTATTAGCACAATTAAAAAAGATTTTGAAAGATTGCACAAATAATGACTACATTAAAACCTCACTGAGCTAGGGTTATAGCTCAGTGGCACAGTGCCTGCCTGGCAAGCTCAAGCGCCTGAGTTTGATTCCAGTACCAAAAAAAAATAGATAAAATAAAACCTCATTAACCACAGCTTTGTAAAATCTAAAAGCAAGGAGCAAGGGCACTTTAGCTTTATCCTTACATTGCCTTAATAAATCGAATGATAACAAAACAAGAAGTCTGCAAGTGATGTGCCTCATCCTTACAATTGGTCAATAAGAGAAATTAATGCTTCCCAACTTCAGCTGTAAATTATTAGCATGGTAACAGAAATTAATTATTCATAGCACTCAGCCATAAACTATGGGAATATTGTGGATTTTTCCTATTTCAAATTACACAGAATCCCTAGATTAGCCTAGTTTTATAATGGAGTACCTAGACAGCTTCTTGGCTTTTAGGTCAGACAACTAATTTTATACCATCCTGAGTAAATATCCATGAAAAAAGTTCTGAGTCAGGTATCATGGGGCATGCTTCTAATCCTAGTAGTCTGGGAAGCTGAGGCAGGAGGATCTCAAGTTTGAGCTCAGTGGAGGCAATTTAGCTACTCAATGATACTTTATCTCAAAAAAAAAAAAAAAAAATCCAGGCATGCAGCCCAATGTGAAGGTCTGGACATTGAACCCCAGTGGTCCAGGGTTCAATCCTTGTACCCCCCCCAAAAAAGTTCTGTTTATGGATTGCATTAGGACCACTGTTCACCATTTCAGATAAGCTAATTTGTTAGGGCTCAGATCAATTAAGTGTAGACAAGGGCAGAGAGCCCTACACCAGACAGCGGCTTCAGTCCAGGCAGATATTGTCCCCACCACTTCAGAGGCCCGGGCTCAGGTTATGGGAGACCACTTCTACAGAAAGAAATGTACTGCTGTCTTACAGTCCTATCTTACAAAAGTAACCCCCGCATCCATTGTAAGGTCTTAGTATTTCTGCTTGGTGTTGTGTGATGCCCTTTTTCAAAAATTCCAAACCAGGCCAAGTCCAAGCAACTCCCCAATTCCACTCATTAGATGGTACTCACTTCTGCTGATGGAGTAGGAGACAAAGTCCGTGGAGACTGCAACAAAAGAGAGAACTCAAAGTCACGGTGTGCGAACTCTTTATTCGTTTAATTAGACTTGATCATCAGAATCAGCTGGAAACAGCGGCCTGCACATACACGCTGGCACCCGCTGCCTGCCCCTGTCCTGAGGGTTAGTGTGGAGTGGGCCGATGCTAAATTTTGACACAGTTCCTGGAGATTCTGGTGCACATTTCTGCCTAAGAACCACAGTTTTAGTAAATAACAGTGTCAATAGTGTTGTTAATTTAATAAATATATTGATGTCCTAGGTGACCACATGGGATAAATTGGAACTACTTTCCCCTGTGTAATTTGACTATGCTCAGCTTACTGCTGTGAGTTTCAGCATCTACAGAGACATAGGATTCTGCAAATGTAGTTTTTAAACTGTACGCACAGCGGTCACTGTAATATAGTTTATATGGCAGGTGTGACGGCACACGCCCAGTGTCGCCTCCTGGATCCCTCATCAACCTCACCTCCCGCCCCTCCCACCTTCCATCTTCCAGGCCACAGGCTGCCTTGGGGCCATCACAGGCCAAACCCTGTGTCGCCTCAGGGCCTCTGCACTTGCTGTCTCCTCCACAGCCCATTCCTTCCCTGAGACACCTTCAGGGCTCCCACCCTACCCTGAGTGAGGTCTCCGTTCAAACACCCCTTCACACAGTGCCTTCTGTGACCCTCCTATTTAAAGAAGCGAACCCACACCAGCATGCTGTCTTCGTACTTGGCTGTATTTTTCACCATAGCACTACCTCCCTATGGAATTCTGTGATAGATCTGTTTATTTACTGTCTCCCTCATGGCGCTGCAAGCTCCGCAAGGGTTAGTAAGACTTCATTTTTAACTCTGTTCGCCAGTGATACGAGTTGTTCTTACATGTTAGATGCTCAATGAATATTTTCTAAGTGAAATGTTTATAACGATGATTATAATGCAAAGTCCTCTCAACTAGAAATGCAACCCAGACAGAGAATTCTGGGGAACACCTCCAGGGACAGATCTCTTAGTTTTAGAATTTGCATTCAGCTGGCAGACTCTCTTGCACTCCGCACTGTGGCCGGTCTCTGGGGCATCTCCTGCTGCGGGCAGGAGCCAGCTGTGCCCCTGCTCTGAAGGTGCGCTTGTGGATCCAGCCCACTCAAGCCTTCTGAAGGCATGGATGGCAACACAGAGCTTTAAGTTTACTCCTCCTGTGTCTCTAAAATGGCCATAGATGGATTCTATAAAAGGGGTTTTAATAACTAATAGAATAAATACAGCAATAGAATAGTTTGTAGTGTTTACTTTGTTGCCAGATCCACATGTTGAGGACTGAGCTCACTAATATGTCAGATTTCTGCTCCAAAGGGATATTCTCCATGCATCAAGAAAAACACAGGTCACTTTTTCAGGTTATGACTGTAACAAGTGTTGACTGTGAGCTGCCAGAGATGCAGTATAGCACACGCACCACTAGGTGGCACTACATGAAAATGAATCTCACTTCCCAGAGCTATGCTTTGGAATATCCCCAGATCGCAAAAGAAACAAAGAGAATACTATATAATTATAAATAAACATAATCATAAACCAACCAATATTATATGTATACAGCAGAGAACAAATGAAATAGATTCATATTTTCATGCCTTTTCTTCATCTCATTAAGCCTGAGAAGCACTGTGATACTTTAGGCTTCATCTTGGCTGAATGGCTGAATAGAGTCCATTACCTGGGTAACACCTCTCTCAATGGAATTGAGTCTGTCTATAGATGATTCCAGTTTTAAAATGAAAGAGGGGGCTGGGCTAATAGCGCATGTGCCTGGCCTGCTTGAGGCTCTGGGGTTAACCCCTAGCATCACAAGAATAAAAAGCGAAAGGGGAAGAAAGCAGAATGGGTTCAATAGATGGGGGAAACAGACCAGAGCCCAAGAGACCTGGGTAGGAGGTTAACAGTGGGGGATCCCCAGCCTCCCCTCCCTGGGAAGGGAGCCAAAGGGCCAGAGAAGCTCTTGTCCAGCCGCGGAGGGGTGCACAGGCTGAGCACAGACCAGCCCCGAGAGGACAGGTAACAACTGCAGCAGCTGTCATCTGCTAAGCATTTACAAGCATGGTGACCCCTGGGCTGAGCCAGGTAATTTGATTCCATAACCCTTGCTCTTACCACTGCGCTATACTACTGGTCCATTCCAATTTTTCTTTTCTGGAACATTCTAATTGCATTAAACTGCTGAACACGGCAGCTACCAATATGTAGGGGGTATGTTCTTTCTCTCCATGATCTCCACAAATATACTGCCAACTTAGGTCAAGACCGAGACCCCAGAACACCCTCCTTCCCCTGTCAGTTTCAGCATCATCTTAGCATAAGGCCCAATTATTTCACACCTGACTGAGCCGTCACCATTGCTTTATGTGCAGTTAGCAGACTCCACCCCCCTTTTGGACCTCCCTCAGGGCTGTAGTCATGTGATAGGTTTTTGAATACTTTAAAGAACCTGGTATGGAAATCTGCAAATAGTAGGCGATAGAAAGACTGATTTAAATGCTACACACAGGATGAAAACGAAAGTGAGCTGTCACAACCACTGGAGACTGATTACCTCTCCAAGGCTCTGCCTCTCCTGTTTGTCATCGTAGCCCGAAGTGTAGAAAGGCTCATAAGTAATGAGGTCTGGACGCTCGATGTCATAGATTGCCTTGACCTTGGGAATGGCTGCTAGGTCTTTGTAATCCAGGATTTCATTGTCTACTTTTGCCTGTTAAAGTTGAACAGAGAGAAAAGTTACTCTGCAGTCTTATTTCTCTGAGAAACTATGCGAGTGCTTTTAAAGTCTTGTTTAAAATGTGAAGACCTTTAAAACAAACCAGAACACCAGGCTTAGCATGGTCATACTCTTCAGAAAACTGCCAATGTACATCACCTGTCAATTACTTTTTAAGATTATCAAAAGCTTAAGAGAAAGTATGTAGAGAGCTCATTAACTAGAGAAATGTGTAAATATTAAGGATACTCTCTGAAATTATACTGAAGAAAGAAATCTCAAACAGGTGGTCAAAAAATCCTCCCGGATGGCTAAAAACAAGAACGGCATATTTAATGAAGCAGTTAAATACCTTTATGTCAGGATTTAAGAGTAGCCAGTAGTAGTCTTATAAATGTATAATGAACCCCAGGTGTCTATATGCAATTAGGTACAATAATTTAAGTCTTGCTTCATACTACTGTATTTTGAGGTCATCTTTTGGTGAGATGACCATATATAAATTTAATTACCTGAAGGAAGACATGATTGAGACAACTGATGCACAAAAATGAAAACTGGATTCCATAACAATTAGAAATCATTTTGGAATAGCTTCTATCATCCATCCAATTATTCCAATTCTCAAACCCACCTGCCCTAGAAGCGTCCCTCCCAGAAGCAGATACTTACATAGATAGTATGGCCCGGTGAGCCAGGGATGCTGGACCCGGGTCTAGAATAAATACTTTCAGAGGAGGTCCTGGTAGGCTGTAAAATAAACGTCACTGGTCAGAGTCCAGACAAAGGCTTTGGAATCAAGAGTGACGTGGGTCCCTATGTTTTACTAAAAAAACTAAGCTAGTTAAAAAGGAGAGCTCTGTGACCTGTGTCACATGAAACCAAAACACAACCCAGAAGGAAAGGCCATGAAAGCCAGCTGTGGCGTTTGGCTTTGAAAGTGCATTTGAGGCTCCCTTGGTCCCGTACCCGCAGCCCCTTAAGCGTGTCTCCAGGCTATCCATTTCCATTCCTGCACACCAGCCCCAGCAACTGTCACCGCCTCTGCTGCTCGGGACCATGCAGCGGCCTCCCGTGGTTCCAGTTCTCAAGACCCCGCCTTCTTCAGATCCTCTCTCCCCTCTGATGCCCAGTGGGTCTTTGAAGAGAGATCTGCTAAGAACAACTTGTCTTGAGCCAGGTGTGGTGGCGCACACTTGCAATACCAGCACTCGGGAGGCTGAGGCAGGAGGATCATTGCAAGTTCAAGACCAGCCTGGGCTACAAAGTGAGCTCAAGGCCAGCCTGAACTGCATAGCAAGACCCTGTCTCAAAAAGACAAAGAAAAAAAAAAAGAACAACTTGTCTGTCAATATCCTGCCTTTGGCTTCAGCGTCCACTAAGAATAGAAGAATAAACCCCCGGCCTGGGAACCCCGTCCCTGCTTTTGTTTCCCCCCTTGTTCCTTATCACCCATCAGTTTGCAGGACAAGGTGCACAGCCCCCCTGCCTCCGGGGTCTCCTCCTGGCCTCTCTCCGCCTCAGAGGCTCTTAACCCAGCTTCCCCTCTTTGATTGTTTCTCCTTCTTCAATCACGGCTTAAGTATCACCTTCTCAGAGAGCCCTCCCTGATCTTCAGCCCCCAAGAGTGAGTTCTCTCTCGCTGTGTCATTCTTATTTTTTTTCCCTTCATGAGTAGGACTGCACAACGATGTATTTACTGGTTTTCTTGCAGCGTGTCTGTCCCCTTCATACACTCTGGTTGTGATCTCTGCCCTCAGAGTGTTTTTCACTGCTGCATGTACCCGTGCTTTGCACAGGAGGCAGAAACGGAGTGAATAAACTGCAGTTTATTTGTACTTGACTGATGCTGTGAGCTTAGCCACGCGGGGTCACCAAGGGCAGGGTGGTGGGGAGCCTCTGACAAGATGGAAGTAACTGAATTTCATAATAATACTTGGAAAACCATGAGAGTGAGCGCTGGTTTTACCAGTGAGATGGGAGGGAAATGTACAAACTAGGATCAACTGCCTCCCATCCCTGCTGGGCATACTCTGGAAAGCTCTCCAGAGAAAACCCAAGGCCTAGTTTTAGAAGACTTCCTCATGTCAGTGCAGCTATTCCCTGAAGAGTTCAACTTATAGTACTGCTACAGGAACAGGGAGCTCTCTCTTTAGGACTGACAGGACTCCTTGAATGTGAGTATAATTGAGCCAAAAGAACACCTGAGACACAGGTGTAGCATCACTGAGTAATTCACACCTGAACACAATGAACACACACATCTGGCCAGTGTGAGGCAGGCAGCGGTTAGACTCACTTTCAAATCAAGCCCTTGCCAGAGGATTGCGATTAATCATCCCTGGCCAATGTGTCAGGCATCTCAGGGATACCTGGGTGGGTGGCAGGGGAAGAAATCACATGTGTTCAGGTGTTGCTGCATCTGGCCCACTGTTTGGGCCTTCCTCCCCTGGAGGTTGTTATGGTCAATACACTGTGTCAACTTGAGGAGTCTGGAAGCTTAACTAAGTGACTCAGCAGTTCTACATCCTGGGGTGAAAAGAACATGCGCTTACTGCTCTATGATGTTGTTCATTGCGTCAACTTGAGAAGTTTAGCAGGTTAACTATGTGACTCGGGTCCTTACTTTGTATTCATCCTGAGCCTGTGCAAGAGGAAGGCACAGAGATGGTGTGGGCGTAGAGGACCACCCGCCCCCTCAGGGCTGGTAGGCTGCATACAATAAAAGGGAAATGAGGAAGGACTGCTTGCTGGTTCTTCTGAGGCGCTCTAGTCTTTGCCCTCAGCTTGGTCATCTCCTGGCTTATGGTACACACTGTTTGGCTTCTGCCTGGGACTCTTCAGCCTTCCGGTGTGGACTCTTTGGCCTTCGATGTAGATTCTTCACCATTCTGTCACAGACCCATCAGCCTCCTGGTACAGACTTGCACGGACACTGCAGTGAGCTCCAGGCCTGGGACAGGGCTCTTCAATCTCCAGTGTGCAGACACCCTCTGCATGCTTCCTCATCCAACTCTGTGGCCGTTGTAAGCCAAACTTGTACTTTCTTATACATTTCAATATCTTGTGTTATATCTGTCCCTGACTGATACATATGTCTTCTTCCAATTGTGACTGGAATCACTATTTTCCAGTAATAAACTAGTCTCAATATGAGAAACAGAAAGGGATTCATATAACACTACTTAAAAGACCAATTTCAACCATTTGCTAATCTTCCTAATCAAAACACAACCTTCCTTTCAAAAGAGATGCCACTCCCTGCAAAAGCTGAACCAATATCCATCCATGTCTGTGGGTAATGATTAAATACAGCTAGTCATTCAGTTCCAAGTGGCCAGCACCTAATATTTGCCAAACGTGACATCAAAGTGAAACCTCTTCAGCATCAACCCAGGGTCATCAACAGCAGCGATGTTTCACTTAGGTTGTGGCAGGCCATGTCCTAGCTTTGCTTGCAATTAATCTGCTCAGTAACCCTATGACATAGGTATCAGCCCACTTTACAGATGAGGAAGTATGAGTGCTGTGAGCTGCAGAGGTAGAAATGGGGCGAGTCAGGATTTGAACCCACACACCTGAGGTCCAGGCCCCTGCACTCTGCCCCTGCATTCCATCTGTGTCCCTATGCTAAGGTAAGTGCATTCCTTTGTTTCCCAACAACACAGCTACAGGGCAAAGAGAGTGAAAGCAACGGAAGCATTGAGATCAGTGGCTGAAAGGAATGCGAGATCACCGGAAGTATTTTTACTTACTTCCAGGGCAGGTGGGGAAAGGGACGGTGTGCTGCAGGAGGGGCACAAGTCTTCAGTGACTGAAGCTGCCATGACAAGGGCCTGTGCTCGTTAACCAGCATTTGGGACACGGCGCAAAAAGCCGAAGTGCATGTTGGAGCCTTGGCGCCCCTCGCATGTTACTCGTCCCCGCTTTTATCAGTGTGGGTGAGGGGCGCTTTCTACCTTTCTAGTAACGATGTCCCCGAGGGCTCTGAAGGTGTGGTTCACGCCAATAAGAATCCGGCTGAGACCAACCTGAGCATGCGCAGAGAGGGGCCCCTATGTTCTCTTTCAGGGATCAGAACTCCGCAGAAAGAAAGGTCCTGCGGCTGAACTAGTCTGTTTTGGTTCAGCCCCTCCCCTCTTCCTCCTGGACTCCTTATCCTGTGAGTTGTGCAGGTTTCTGTAAAGCACTCCTCTTGTTTATTTGCTAAGAACACTGTTGGGCTAACGGTTTTTGAGGTTATTTAATAATATCAATTTTTGCTAAGCTCCATTTGATTCTTTAAAGGGTTTCTGATCTAAAGCACCCCCTACTTGTGTATACCCACCCCTGACTTCTTTGATTCCAAAAGAAATACTTTAGATTTTTACAGTGGGACAGTTTTCCATGTTAAGTCCACTGGTCACCAAATCTGCCAGCATGCTTAGAATGGCTGTTAGGCCTCAGCCTCCCGAGGGACAGGGATGCCGGGTGTGTGCCACCCTGACTGGAAGCTGCTCTTTCTCACTGAACTCACCACTTCCCCTAGTTTATTTTTGCTTCATTCTGACCATTTAACTTTCTGTAGGTTTCTTACAGATGGGCTGAGCTACATTCCTGCTTGTCTAATTCCTTACAGTGGCCCACCTGTATCTTCCTGCCTACATTAAAATAATAGGATAAAACACAATCACACATAGTAGAAAACGGAGTAGGGGAGTTAAAGGCTAGCTTCAGAGTCAAATAACTCAGTTCAAATCCACACTCTAACAGTTTTGTGTGATGTTGCATTGAGTTTTTCTTTTAACTTTCTTGAGCTCAGCTCTCCATTTATAAAGGAGGGTCGAAAATATCACCACGAACTACTGGTCCTTGGTAGGGTGAAATGGCGTAATGCCTATCAAGCTCCAGGCACTTTGCCAGGTACTAGGCGAGGGGTCAGTATTTTCAGACATCTGACATGAGACCATTTCTCGGCTATTAATTTTCTGCTAACAAAGGGCAGCATTGCTTGTGCTTTGCTTCTCGTGGTAGAATATTCTTTTCAAATGTGCAGGACACAGAGGAGGCTGGCTATTGTTCTCCATGGCTATCGTGTTTGGACTCCTCCCACCAAGACTCAGAGAAGCAATTTATCACAGTCCACGGGGCAGCAGAGTCTGCCAGGGCTTGAGAACTACCCTTCCCCTCCTTGAGAACTCTCTGAAGTGACTCCGAACCCTCTTGCCGATAGTGACTTCCTGCCTGTCTTAACTGCAGTAATTACTGCCCTTCCACTTCTGGGTGGCAGTGACTTTGCACAGGCCTGTTTTATCCACCAGGACAGTTCTGGATCTGCTGCCTCTTGAACCGTGCGTGAGGTTTAAACAGTGTATAGGAACTGCCTGCTTTTTGCCATAGTCCTTAATGGCTTCTCAAGGATATTTGCTCAACTGGTGGAGATTAGAGGTCTCTCTCTTATGAAAGTAGTAAAATTACTTTTTAACGCTGAATAATTATCTTTGGGGTTTTAACCGTGAAGACTTAGAATTGTACATTCAATTGGAAACATGTTGAATTTTTAATTAACATCTTATTTTTTAATAAAAGAACCCCTTGTATTCTTCCTGCTATGGGTTCCACATGGATACATGACTTGCTGTTAGGACTAGCGTATCTTCAGGAGGCACAGAGCTGTCCTCTGACATACATAGGAGCAAAGAAAACTGGAACTCATCTCAACTTCAAAGTGTGAACTCACTCCCACGCGGCCTGCCTTTCAAATTCCATGGACTGTTCCTTCTTTATCATAATGTCACCTTCATGGCTGCAATAACACTACAGACAGATAGCCCACATTTCCATGTACAGTTGTACTTATTCAACCTAAATTACCATTTCCACCCATTCAGATGTCCAGGGTGGCCACAGTGACCTGGTGATTATGAACTGAACTGATGGACTCAATGGGCAAGAGGTCTCTGGAACTTTCCATAAGAGTTAGAAATTTACTCTTGTCTATATTACAGGTATAAAATATATACAGAGATGACTTCAAATATTATTCCTACCATTAGTCCCCTTCTGTCCTACAGGAGTAAGGCAACAGCAAAGTTTAACAGCTATGATAAACTGTTAAAAGCAGATGCAATTTGCTAACTTGTCTATAAGCACCTTTTTAAAAATAAAAACCCAACTTGAAAGTACAGATGGAAAAATTTAGTTATTTCTTTTGAAGTTCTCCTTGGGAACAATAACAACTGGTAAGGTGGAGTGGAAGTAGGAAGAGGGCAAAGTCAATAAATAAAAGATTATATATGGCTGGGATATTGCCAAGTATTTTGCCAATAAGATTAGGCAAATGGTTTAACCCTCATATTGGTGACAGGAAGAAAGGGACACTTCACTAAGAACTTTCTAGTTGGATGTGTGGTCCTCACTCAACCCCTCACGAAGGGGTGCTTTTTCTCTACATCTATTTCCCCAGCATACCTTCCCATATTTGCTTTTCATTTCAATGAACTTTTTATTTCTCAAAAAAAGGGGGCAGTGCTGGAAGCTCTGGCACACACCTGTAATCTCAGCTACTCAGGAGGCTGAGGCAGGAGGCTCACAAGTTCAAGGCCAGCTTGCGCAACTTAGTGAGACCTTGTCTCAAAATAAAAAAGGACTGTGAGTGCAGCTCAGGGGCAGCGTGCTTCCCCAGCAAGCCGTGAAACCCTGGGTTCAATTCCCAGTACCATATACATACAAAAGAGAAAACAAAAACCCAATCAAACAAACAAAAAACACAAACAAAGACAGTTCACTAGAAGACTAGTGGTTCATTTCAATAGAGAGAGAGAAACAGGCATTTAATCACTAGTCAGTAGGTAGCTGGTTGAAAAAGCACACCTCTCCTTGTTTTTCTCAGGAAATCCTTTCGAAGCTCTCTAGCTACCTTTTCATTGTTTCTTCCCCGTCAGCTTTGAACTTGTCAGTCTGCCCTACCATTTGGAAGCCGGTCACAGAAAGATTCACTGAAGGGGATCTTTGGATGTTCTTGTCACTCTTCAAATACTGACCATTCAAAACACTTACCAGAGCTCTGTCTATGAGTAAGCGGAGAAACGTCATGTTCCATTTATTTTCAATTATAGGTGCCCATGGCCCCTTGGGGAGCCCTGGAAAACTCTTTGTGCCTCTGCCCTATCCCCCCCAGCAGGAGCAGGGAAGCGACAACTACGTTCATCTAGTTTGCATTCATCCAAAGCCATGCTCTAGGAAGGTGAGCGCAACTACAGGCAAAGCACCAGATGGGCTCCATCTTGGGAACACCTACAGGATCACTACAACATGGGCGGCCAGTACCTTCTACCAAGTACTGCTGGGGTTGACAGTACCTGCCTTGAGTTTCTGTGGACGTTCACCAGACAAGGTGGTGATAACAGCTGCAGAAGAAGGAATATCTTAAAATTGCACACATCAGATGTAAGATGTAAGAAAAGAGTGAGACCAAATGCATTGGAAAAAAGGATTTGTGTTTGGAAAGGAAATAGGAAGGGCTCCGGACACACACGCTGTTTGCAGAGGCTCTTTCACAAGCTGCTGGCAGCCCTTATTGTGACCCAAAGGCCTGGTGTCTTACCACCTCTACATCTGACTGCCTGCGGAACTGCAAAGTAACACCTGGGAGGGGAAAACCTCCAAGTAAAGTGAAACTAGAAATAAAGCAGTACGAACAGTAGTGACACGATTAAACCCGTAACATGACTTCCTTGCTGTAGACACAGGTCTCTAAAGTAGCTCCTTTAAAGAATATATACACATGATATTTCTTTGGTATGCTGCAGATCTACAAGCACATACATTATATTATGAGAATGTCAGTTTCAAAAGAAAGAAATATCTCATGCCTAGTTTGTAGGTAAGTCAGCTTATGCTTTAGCCTTCAAAACTCCTTTGTAGAGCAAAGGCAGGCGACCCACTCCAGATTATTAAAAACTTGATTTTGGGAATACCAAGTGCACTGCCTACAATGAATTAAAAATGCTTAGTATGGAGTTTTACCTAGAGATCAAAACCACTGCAACCCACAAAAAACTTCCAAAGAAGTAAAACCAGAGTGCATTTTTCTTAGGTAGCTGCTTTCATCTTATTTTACCTGCAGCTCAGAAGATACAAAGGAGTGGCTTCTGAACATAAATAATAGACTAACTTTCCTCCTATAAATTTAACTTCCACTTCCAGCAGAATGACAGCTTTTTTCTGGGGCGCAGAGTACTGACTGTCCCTGCAAGGAGGTGAGTAAAATCGCCTGATCACTAAAGGTGCATAATTTTATGTGGTGAAGATGAGCTGCTGTGTAGGTCAAAGGACTTAAAAGATCAAAGCCTCTGTGAGCTGAGGACTGTGTTGTCTGCAGTCTTGGTGCATCGCCCCTCACTCCTTGTCACCAGTGGGAAAGGGAGGCCTTGTCAAATTGCACCTTTTCTCTGCCAGGTCCCAAGCTGTGTACAACTTTCTGTGGTGGAGCTAGAGCTGACTTCACTGATATTTATGGCTAGATAATGGGAATCAGGCGTCTCCTTTGAACAATAGGACAGGAAGAGAGAGGTTATTCAAAACACATTTCTCTCTCCTCCATATCTCTTAAGGGTCTGTGGCAAAAGAAAACAATTTCACACTTGATGATGACATCTTTCTTCAAGCCATGAAAACACATCTCTTGGCTATAGACTCAGGGAAACAAAATTTAACACTGAATTAAGAGTACACTGTTGGAAAAAAAAAAAAAAATCAAAAAAGCAACTTCCTGCCAGGTACAGGCACTAGGCTTGAGCAGCTTGCATTTGCAGTAGGGATGATCCTGGCCTGTTCCTCTGGGTTCATGAGACATACTGTGCTATGTGTGGGAACTCTGCCAATGGGACTGGGCTTTAAAACTGATTGGACGGAGATCCTACACAAGTCCAAGCCGGGGTGCATCCCAGCACCGCGGTCCAACACCAGGCCCCGAGGCCCAGAGTTCGTGGCCGTCTTGCTGGGTCGGGCCTGTCTAGCTTTGAGGACGCGGCTACGCCTGTCTGGCTTTATTCTACAGGTGGACAAACAAGGGGGCTGAACCTAAATGGCCTCTTCCCACTCTACAGTTCTATACTTCTGTCTTTCAAGTCATTTAAAGAAAGAACATGATGTTTTAATAAAAACAGACAGGAACACGAAATTTTCTCATCCTCAGGGCAGCTCTGGCAGGCACAGAGGCAGGCGCAGGCGCAGAGGCTGCAAACAGTTCTGTGCTGCGGCCCTGAGCCGGCAGCAGGGATGCCAGGCCAGACGGGTATCATCTTGGCCAGTGTGGGAGGACGGGAAGCCGCCTGCGGTGTGCCAGGCCAAGGTTTCTACTGGTTTCTTAGGGACCCTGAAGAAGACGAAGTCAGGCATGGAATCTAACCTCCTGCTTGGCCGTTCCTATGGCGAGTCACAGAGGGGTCAACCCCCACCCGTGGGCCCCGGCAGGGCCTGCTGTTCTCTTCCTCGTCTCCATCCGGGGTCCCCGACAAGGGCCTCAGCCAGCATTTAAGACTCTCTTTTTCTGGTGGGCCCATTTTCTCTCTTGCTGTTCCCTTATTTACAGTGGGCAGAACTGGACTGTGGGCTCACAGAAGCCTGCGTTCCAATCCCAGCTCCTCTCCTCACTGGTGAGGTGTCTCTGGGGAAGCGACCTAGAGACGATGGCCCTTCCTCTCAGTCTGCCTATGTGCAAAATGGGAATAAGTCGAGCCACCTCACGGGAATTATTTGAGGGAACACATGAGAATGCAGGTGGGCCCCCTGGCTTCCTCACAGTGGGGTGCCTGCTCTCACTTGTTCCCCAGCCCCAAACCTTCACTGTTCCTTTCTGGAGATAAACCACACCTTGCCCTGGCACTGCGTTCCCCAGCTCCCACTTTCTGTGTATTCATGGGGCTTACCCCTTGCTCCCTCATCTGCACACATTCAAATCTCGTCCAGCCTGCTTCTCACTGGAAGCGCCTTTGGGACCCGCCTGTCACCTGACATTGCACACCTGATTTCATGATCTATGCAACCCCTGTCCTGTGAGATTTCTGTCCTTTCTGGACATCACTTCTTTGCTTTTGCTTCACTGACAAGGCTAGATGTACAGTATCCAGCCCTGCACCATAGTTGGTGAATAAATGTGGGCACACAAGACCAAATGGCAGAGTCGCTTGTGCTGGCTTAAATCAAGACAATGCTTTTGGGCTGGGGATGTGACTCAGTGGTAGAGTTTTTGCCTTGTATGCACAACGCCCTGGGTTCTATCCCCAGCATCCCCACAACACACACACACACACACACACACACACACACACACACATATCAAGGGAAGACAATGCTTTAGCCCCTGCTGGGAAGAAAAGCTGCCCAAGTCAGATCATGAGGCACACTCATTGGGTGAGGAAAGCATCTGCCTTCTGTGGGAGCTGTGTAAGTTACGTGAGAAAAGCAGCTGGGAGATGGGGTGGGGAGGGGTGTGGGAGTGACGCAGGGGGACCACACATGTACAACAGAAGCCGGGGCCAGGAGAGCAACTCTAAGTCCTAGCCCCAACAAAGCGCCAACCTGGAGAGATGGAGACCGTCCTGTGCGGCGAATCAGACTTTTGGGATAAAAGAAATCAGATGGAGAACGATGAATGTTTGGTGGCTGCCATAAAAGATGAAAAGAGGGAAGAATAAACAAGATCCTCATTCAAAAACTACCAAAAAAAACAGAAAAAAAATCACCCATGGGAAAAACTAGTAAACACCAAGTGACATCATTTTAGTTGATGGGCATGTGCCAGGTTTAGGGGTCAATTTTGGGCCCCCATGAAGTGTACATTGAAGAGTCTTCAATTTATAGCAAATTTACCTACGTCCCCTACCCTCTGAATCCTCTGCATTTATTTTGGCTGGGATGTATTTATAGTATATGAAATGTAAGAAGGCAATAAAGTCAACTGGGACGTGTCTTACTTAAGGAGCTGCTGTTATAAACGCCCCATGAGTTCTTAAATATCAAGAATGTGGATTACTCAGTGGGGTTGCTCAAAGATTCTTCAAACATTTTCATTTTGCTATGGAAACTGCTCTACTGTGACATTCGTTGCAAGGCTTAGAAAGCTTGGCTCAAGACTTGTGTTTGTAGACACACCCTTAAGGGAGCACAAGACTTATTCCTCTGCTCAAAATCTACTCCCTCTATATCTCACCCCTATCAGCCTAGACCCCAACTCCAGACACATGGGATTCGCCTTTCTCTGAGGTGCACTCACCTCCGACTACTGGATTTCCCAAAGACCGTGAGCCAGAGGGCCGACCTGACCTCCCACATAGAAAGTGTTGAGATTAGGACAAGAGCTCTGGAATGCTTACTAAGGAGCAAAACAAGAACATCTTTTAGCCAGAATGAGTGAAATACTTCACAAGTTGTTTTCATAAGCTTCTCCAGAGAGTTCCATCAAGATGTGATCAAGAATGGTTTTTTTTTTCTTTCTTTAAATCATTTTAGGAACACTGTAGGGTTCACAAACTCAAGCTATCCTTACAGGAAAAAAAAAAGACACACATTTCATTCAGCCTGGCCTCATTAGCATTCCTTTCTTTATCTGGCAAAATACTTCATCAGGAATAAAGTAAAAATGATCACTGAAAAACTAAGCACCACTGCAGAAAGGGTGCAAACCACTGGCCTTGGGTGGTTTCTGGGCTGCAGCTTCAAGCTATGTTTTGAATTCCACACACCTAGGGTAAAAGTGACAATAAGCGCTATCTTTAATGTTCTCATATTTTATAAGATAACCTTGTTTCCCAAGCATCTAGGGTTCCTCCAAATTCCCACAGGCTAGTCTGTCTGGTTGATGAACTTCAGGAGCAGTTGTATATGTGCTTAAATTGAAGCTGTATGTCTGAAACACAGAGCAAAACCACCCCAGTATTGGTAGATGGTTTTTTCTTCTGCTATTCTTGTCTTTATTCAATTATTCTCAGAAAAAGTGTTCCACCCATCCACTTAAATTTTGCTTAAAATAATAGTGACTGCAAAAAGAACTGCTTTTGCTTAGGGTCCCAGGCAAAGGATAAATCTCCACGATGTACAAATGGCAAAATGTCTCCATCCTATTTATGGATGCCGGTTGAGAAGGAAAAAAGCAAAGCAAACCAAAGCGGGTAAAAAACCCACTCTGTAAATGTGTTTCAATGAAGAGAATAAAAGACACTAGAAATAGGAGCCGCAACCCCAAGGTGGCAGTAGCGGGGATCTTGAAAATCTGATAATCATTTCTTGGAAGTCAAATCATCCCTTCACAAATGATATAGTGGTGACCAGGTCCTATGCATAAACCAGCTGTATACTGCTGGGAATGATAAATGCCACATAGAAAGGTGCCTACTATGGGCAGATCAAAAAGCAATCGCTCCACACAGCAGGGCCTGGCCTCCAAAGTAAATCCAGACCATTCTGTCCCCTGAGGTGCTAGATGAAGGGAAGGCGGGCTCCAGTTTTTCCACAGGTGCCACTAAATCAGTTAAAAGGGGAAACTTTGATTGAGTCTGATTATCCTCTAAAAAATACTTCATAGCTCAGTAGAAAACCTAGGACCATCTGAACAGGATCCAGTTACAATCATAATTGTCTATCCGTGTACAGTTCTTTGCTTCTAAAACAGCTAAAATATTGGCTACTGGATGTATTCTGAGCTTTGATCAATTTACACATCAGGGCTCATTTTTATTTTCCCCTAAGGTTTTATCTGAAAACCATCAGTTTTTGGAGTCAGAAGCTGCTCTGGTGAATTCGGGTCTGAGAGGTGAGTGGAATGCACCAAGAACTGAGCAACGGACGCAGAGTTTGAGCTGAAGTGGTGCTTCAGGGACTAAGCTGAAAGAAGTCTGGCAAGATGTCACCAGCTGCTCAATATAGAACATGGTGGATCATTTTCTCCCCCATCTCTGTCAACTTTCCCTTAAATGCTTTTGTAAGAAGTGGATAGACAGGGCAAGGTTTTGTTCAACATAAGCATTTAGAACAACAACGAAAAATCACAACAATAAGCTCAGGGGAAGAGAGGCCCACCTTAGCTGGTCAAAGGGCCTTTAAGCTTGGGTTGCTATGTGGAAAATGTTGGTAAAAAATAATTTCACTCAAATGCTAGTCCCAAGAATTAATGACTATAAAGCACGTGGGCTCCAAATGTCCCTGGCATTGTGGTTCTAGCTGTTTCCTTACCCGTAGCTTTTCCTCCGTCTTAGTAGACTGCTTACAGTCGGGATGCCACACGGTGGAACCTGGAAAGAACAGGGCAGAGCATGAAGGAAACGGAAGGAAGTCATCATCCTGTTCCACAGAACTTCTGAGAGTGGTTCAGATTCCTCATTCCCATCACAGGAGAGCCGTGAGTTCCCCAGCAGGAAGTAATTCATGACACTAAAAATCAAACAACCCCAGACCTTAGGTGAATTTAACCCAACCTTGTTCTATAAAGATCATCACTCTGGACCACCGACACCACTAATTGGGCACAAGATTGTTTGAATGCAAGCGATATTGAGCTCTTGATTGTTTTTTAAAGACCATATTATTGTCCTTCAAAAGTAATGGCTGAGTGCTTAGTATAAGCTACATTTAATTTCAGAAATAATAAGCCATATTTATAGACCATCAAACAACAAAGCAAGTTTGTTGAGAGAAATAAACATCAAACTAGAGAGTCTATATCCAGAAGCAGAATTTACTAATTTTTTTCCCTGATGCAATTCTACAGTCATCTACACCAACATGGGTAACTATATTAAATGTTAGTTAGGTTAAAGGTACATTATGAATCCTTCAATCTTTTAACTAGCTATAAACAATCTTTGCTTTTAAACTACTGGAGTGACTTTGTAGGTGTTATTTCCTGTTTCTGGATCAGTAGTCTCCCTTTATGGGACTCTGAAGCACTTGCATGAGTAATGTCACCATCATAGAATTAAGCAGAAACACTTATTCCCAAGAGACAGGTCTGATCAAGAATCCACTGTCTGCTCAGATGGCTTTATATGACCAGATATGTAATACATGCCATTTAGATGACTATTAGGCTGGAAATTGAGTCCTATGTGCATATGCGGGTTTGTTCAGAATAAGGGTGGGGCAGGAGGAACCAAGGGAGCATTAAAAAGACTCAAGCCAATAAAGCTGCTCAGTGGAAAGTTGTGAGCAAAGGATAGAAATGAGTCTTAGTATAAACATCAGTCTTTCTACATTTCATGAGTTTAGTCTTTATCTCTTCAAACAATAACCTGGGTGAATTTAACCCAACCTTGTTCTTGTACTTGAAGAGGCATCAATTTAAAATAACTCATGAACTGCTTTATACCACTGAGCCAAAATAATATTAGTGTTTTATATCAGAATACTTTAATTTCTATTTAACAATCACTTCTCCCTTGTTTCACCCAGGACTAGGGTGGGGGAAGAAAAGAGAAGAGGAATAGAAAAAGAGAAAAAAGAAAATGGAAGAATAAACAAGAAAACCCCAGACAGACGTATGAGTCCCTTCAGCACTAAGAGTGGCTTAAAAGCTGACAACAAAGCACAGGAAATCTTTTAATGTGGAGAGACGAAGAGGGTCAGGCCCAGGCCAGGAGAGCAGTGTATTTGCTGTGGAGTTCTACCGAGCAGGAGGCACTGTCCAGAACCCCCGGGCTACACACAATGTCAGCATTGTTCTCTGAAGGTCACACACTCCAGGAATGAGACTCAGAGAAGAGATCAGGTGCTTCAACAATGAAACTACTAATTCTTCAAGGATGCTGAGAGGGAATGCAAGTAGTAAAGCACAACTCTGCAGGAAACTTAGAACAATCCCTGGAATTCTGAACGCAGTCTATCCCCGGAATGCGCTGCATTTGTGCACAGTTTGAAACTGCTCTCTCTGTTCAGTTTCCAGAACCACCGGGAATATGCAGAGCTGCACCCAAGCCTGAGTCTCGTTCTCTGCAGACGCAGACTGACATTCATACTACTGTGTGTTCTGTGAGTGCTATAATTAACACACTGAAATCTAGCAGCAGGCTTGGAGGCCACGTGAGGAATCAATCTGCTCTGCGGCAGTACGCAAAGTGACACTTGCGTATTGCCATTACAGATGTGTAGCCTGTTCTTGAGAAAATACATCTATGAAGCCCTTATGAAACCACAGATGCAGAGCTTGTCACTTTCCCAGCACGCTTCGGCATTCAGTGATGTTTTTCGTCGAATTTTTCAGAGTGATCATGCTAAAGCTAAAAGAACACTGGCTTGTCTGTTTATCACCTGTCTAGTATTTCTTTTTTTTTTTTTGCTTGTTTGTTTTTCTTCCAGTACCAGGAATCGAACTCATGACCTTGCACTTGCCAGGCAAGCTCTGTGCCGCTGAGCTAAATCCCCAGCCCCCCTGTCTAGTATTCTTAAGACAGAGTAGCCAACATGGTGCTTGAACACTTACAAGTCATCTTTATAGACTTTTCTTAGTCATACAAAAACAAAACTGAGAGAGCAAAGCAAACCATTCATTAAACATTCACTTAGTGCTACGTGTAACAAAGAATGAAGAGCTGGCATGGAGAGGCAACTGAGACCCCTTAATTACTCAAACTGAACCAGCAACTGCTCTTAACAGTTCTTGCTAATTTTACTGATGAATCCTCATCTAATTAATGAGTCTGTCCCCAGCTAAAAATAGTAAAATGCTTTGCACAGATGATGCCATTTGACTGGAAGAGAATTCACCCCTAAAGCTTCTCAAGAAGCTCAGAATTTTGAGACAGAATTGAAGAACACTTTTACTCTGGGAACATTTCTCAAAATTATTTTCAATTAGGACAAGTCTAAGGGCTCCCTGGGAATGCGTACTTCCGTGCCACCAGAAACTTGTTAATTTCTGTTTCAGGGACTTTGGGCATGTGCTCCCTCGTTCCATTTCAATTGAACTATGTCATCTTAGTGGGTTAGAAAGTGTCCATGAAGTAATTCATCCAGTATGAGATTTCCTTCTTCTTGAAAGCCCAAAGAAAGGTAGATGGAGGGACTTCAGATAATCTTTCTCACAAAACAGTAAAAGGATGTAGCCATCAAATGAGTAACCCTTCTAGGAATTTCTAGGAATGTGTTCTCATTTTTGATATTTTGTTTCTCCAATATATTCCTGGGGAGAGAAGGGGAGGAGGACTTGCTGATTCTCACATCCCTCACACTCACAGCACCAGCCTCTCAGGGCTCTTTCTTCAGCAGCCTCAGGCCCTCACTGAGAGCCTGTCAATTGCTCGGCTGGTTTACACTAACCGATGGTGACATACCTTCTGGCCATATCGATGCCGGATTTGGGTTGCCTCTCAGCTAATAAAATGCCTCCTTCTCTAAACACAATCCAACAGACACAGCAAGATTTTCTTTCCCCGAGTACAGAAAATATACTTTGCTCTCCAGTCCCGCTCACCTTGAAGATACATTTCCTCTCCTTCTGTGAACATCTGGTTGCATCTGCTGCATCGTGCACAGCTGGGGTGGTAATGTTTGTCACCTGCCTGCAAGAAAAAAGGCAGGGGACATTTAGGGGACCCATTCAGTCACGGCTCAGAAACGCTTTTCTGGAGCTGCGGATTTAGAGGACAAGAGAAGTTGCTGAGGAAGGAAAATAAAGATCCAACTGATCAAACTTCCCAGACCAGTAACCCTGGAAGTTAAAGCCAACCTCACTGGAACTGAAAAGGCGGAAAGGCCAGCTACTCACACCCACCATGACAGGGCTGCTTTGCTTCTCAGGGTGTCTGGCCTCCATTTTTCTCTCTACCTATGCTTTCCTGGATGGTTTCCATTTAAATATCACGTGCCTGAGATGAGTTTACTTTATGTCCCAATCACTCCACCTCAAAACATGAATGCACACATTTTTGTGGGAGGTTCATGTTGGTTAGGCAGGTTCTTCTTTCTTGGCTCAATGAACAGAAAATTAAAAAAATCTACCCAATTTGCATCAAGGTAAGCAAAACCATAGTAAAAGACATAATCCACTGTTATTGTTTCAGAAAGAGGCTAAATTCTCTTTTATGCTGTTTACATCAATATTTTACCAATGCCCTGTATTAGTTTCCCAAAGAAGGCATTTTACTGAAGTGGTATTTCGTATTCCTAAATACAACAGATGCCATCACAGCAGGTGCTGACTTTCCTGAAGCAAAGCATCCCTGGACAAAGGGACAGTTCCCTAGACATTGCCAAATCATATGAGAGTCACGCCCCAAACGCAGCCTGACAAAAAATCCTTTCATGCCCAGCTTAGGAAAAAAAGTCTTCACTTAAAAATTACCAAATGCATTCTGTGATTAGATCATTTGTACACATCAAGTGTGAAAACATTTCTTTTGCACTAACCACGTGCAATGGCAGTGCTGAGAAAGTTAGAAGAGGCGGCATCCTGCTTCCGAGCCTGTGTGAAACCACAACAGGAAGTCAGAGTACGGTCCTGATTTCACTTTCACACCCTGCTATAGAAACAGTAAAAGCCCCTTAACAACCAAAGCATGAGATGGGGGTCAGCCTCTTAGGATGATCAAGAGGGGAAAAAATATTAAGTTACCTAAATTAAAAACCTAGGAAAGACACCTTTTTAGTGGTGCCTGCCAAAAAAGTGCAGAAATGGTGTCCTTATTCTTGTCCACTTGCTGTTTCTTATTTCTTAAACCCATGTTTTGTAGCGGAGTGGGGCGCAGGTCTGAGTGCAAAGGGAAGCATGAAGTCAGTCCTTCCTTAAGACATTTGGGGTCAAATGTGGGTGAAAGGAAGAAAGAAATTCTACTCAGTTCTAAGCCTGGTTGGCTCAGCAAGGCTGTCAGTGCTGAGGTTTAAGTTAGTTGAACAATCTCTAATCCCAAGGAAAGTCTAAGAATAAAGTCTCCAGAATATGGTGTGGTCTGTGGTGAAAAATATAGTTTACCTTATTAAAGCACAAACAGAAATTTTTCATGCTAAGAAAGCACATGTATCATATTGGGTGGTGAAACATCACAAGGATTTTCATTAAAGATGGGCGTGAGACAAAGATGTACCCTTTCACCAATATCATTCTACATGTCTTGGGTACTTGTCTGTGTGATAAGAAAAATAACTGTAATGATCACTAATAAATGAGTTCAAGCAAGTGGCTAGATAAAAAAAATTAACATTAATTATTATTTTCTATTCATTAGGAAACTTTTATTTCCTATTCATTAGCACTAAAAAATAAAAGCAAGTCCTCATTTGCAATAGCAACAAATAAACCCTCTAACATAAGACCTAAAAATAAAGAAAATTATAGAACTTAATTGATGGATATAAGGGATCTAAATAATTCTATTTCTCAATAGAAACATGAAATAATATTTCTGGGTGCAAAAACTGAAAAATGTAAAGATGCCAATTTATTTTAAATGAACCTACTTCTGTGATGCTTTCACAGTTACAGTGCCCACAGGAGTTTGCTTTATAGACCTTGACAGGTTGTATCTGTAAGTTCATGTGGAAGAAAAGAAAAGTACAAAAAAAGACCCCCTAAAAAAGGGGCAGCAATGAAAGGGAATTTAAATTCCCGATTTAAATATTTATTCTAAGGCTAAAAATATTAAAGCACTTGAATACCCATGTAGGAACAGAAAATAAATCAACAGAAGAGAGGAAATAGCCACAATTACAAAAGAGCTTAGTTTATCATAAAGGTGGCAGTTTAAATGAATTTAAAGAACAGATTATTCAGTAAATGTTGAGTTATATCACAGAGCTACTGTGATAAAATCAGCATGGTGCTGGTAAAAAAAAAAACAAAAAACAACAACAACAACAAAAAAACAGACTTAAAGATCAACGGAATGGATTAGAAGATGCAGACACAATTGCAAACACATTCAGCCACCTTATCTTTGACAAAGGGGCCGAACATGTTCACTGGAAGAAAGATAGCCTCTTTAATAAATGGTGCTGGAAAAACTGGCTTTCCACATGCTGAAGACTAAAACTAGACCCACGTCTATCACCATGTCTAAACTAAAATCAAAATGGATCAAAGATCTAAATATTAAAACAGAAACACTAAATATACTGGAAGAGAAAGTGGGCAGAAATCTTGAAGAGATAGGGATAGGCAGAGAGTTCATGAACAAAAGCTACAGAATCAAGAACCGGGATCTCATCTTATTGAAAAGTTTTTGCACATCAAAAGAAATCACCAACAGAGTAAAAAGAAAACCCATGAATTGGGAAAAAATTTTAGCCAACTGTTCTTCAGACAAAGGACTCCTATCTAGAACACATAAAGAATTAAAAACAATCAGGCCCCCAAAATTCAAAGACCCAATCCAAAAATGGGCATCTGAGATGAAATACACACTTCTCAGATGAAGAAATACTAATGGCGAATAAATATATGAAAAAATGTTCAACATCCTTGGTTATTCGAGAAATGCAAATTAAAACAACACTGAGATTCCATCTCACCCCAGAAAGAATGGCTATCATCAAGAAATCAACCAATAACAAATGCTGGAGAGGCTGTAGGAAAAAAGGAATCCTTATCTACTCTTGGTGGGAGTGTAGATTGGTGAAACTACTGTGGAAATCAGTGTGGAGCTTCCTCTCAAAACTAGGATTAGAGGTCCCATTTAACCCACCTATTCCCCTTCCAGGTATTTTCCCAGAAGAATTAAAAATATCACACCACAGTGATATATATGCACCCATGTTTATAGCAGCACAATTTGTCATAGCTACATCTTGGAAACAACCCAAATGCCCATCAACTGAGGAATGAATAAAAAAGATATGGTATTTTTATACAATGGAGTATTACTCAGCTATAAAAAAAGATAAACTAGAGACTTTTATAGGTAAATGGATGCAACTAGAGACCATACTCATAAGTGGAATAAATCGGGCCCGCATGTGCAAACATCATATTGTCTTCCTAGTGTGAGTACATGAAAGAGTAAATAAAACCCAAAATGTACAATAGATATTATGAAAGAGAAAGAAATTGCTCAAATGAAGAAACAACTGGCATGAGGGAAAGGAAAAAAAATATGTATACAGAAGGATAGCTGGGATAACTGTACTGCTGATGTCTAATGGTTTATTGAAGGGAACAGTTAATGCTTTATTTATTTATTTTTGGAACAATTTTGCATGTTTATATCTGGTAATCTCAACAATTACTATGAAGACAATAATATGCAATGTAACAACCATTGCTGAATTCCTATCATCTTGTCTAGTGAAACTCGGAATCATCTACGACGTTTTTTGTTTTGTTTTTAGTTTTTATTTTCTTTAATGGTTCAATCAATCTTGCATTCTTACATCTGTTAATCTGAGCAATTGCAATGAAGATAAAAGGATGTAATATAGGGGCTGGGGATTTAGCTCAGTGGCATAGCGCCTGCCTGGCAAGCGCAAGGTCATGAGTTCGATTCCTGGTACTGGAAAAAAAAACAAAAAAATCCAAAACCCAAAAACTAAAAACAAAAACAAAAAAAGTATATAATATAATAAATGGTGAGGATATGGGGATATAGCTTAGGGTTAGGGTAGCAGACTTGCCTAGGTATAAGCCCTGCCTGGGTTTGATTTCCAGGGCTCGAAGAAAGAAAAAGGAAAAAAAAAAAATGTAAGGACAATTGGTTCTCAACATAAAGATAAATCTTGATTCTTAACTCCTAACCTATATAAATGCCAGACAGCTTAAAACGGAAAAAAAGTTAAAGTGGAAACAAAATTATAGAAGTGTTCACAGAGAATATATATAAGACTATTTTAATAAACATATGGTAGGAAAGTTTTCCTACACAAGGAAAGATCTAGAAACAATAAGGGTAAATATCAGCCAATCTGTGCCAGTGCTACACAAAATTAAAAACTCTAGACACAAAATTAAAAGAGAAATGATAGAAGAATTTTGCCATACATTTCAGGCAAAAAACTATTTAGAATATATAGAGTGTCTATAACACAAAATGCGGCAAGATGGGCAGAAGGCTATTTCCAGAGAAAATGAACATAATAAAAAAATAGTTTGTCCAATGCGACTAGCAATCAGGGAAATACAGTTTAGAAAATCTTCTGTTCCCCCCATAAAATTAGCAAAGATAAACAGAATATAAATGTGAGGAAGCTGATGTTTTCAGCTGGTGCTGAAAACCCTTCCTGGAAGGCAACTTGATGGTGTCTATTAAAATTCAATGCGCACATAGCCCTCTGGCTCACAGTTTCACTTTCAGGGAGCCATCCTACATAGTCTCACGAATGTGCCCCAAGGCGTATGCATCGAGGGTATTCAGTACTATTTTACTTATACCATCGAAGAACAAAAAAACAGAAAACCCCCAAAAGGAAGAAATTAAATGAAATAGTAAACCAATGTAGCCATTAAAAATGAAGTAATCGTATACGTACTTGTAAGAAGAGTTCAAATTAATATTACTGAGAATTCAAACTACCATTACAAAGGAAAAAAAAAATCAAACACTGTTCTATGTCCACATTAAGTCGCAGAAACCCT